CTGTCTGTATTTGGAAAAAACATCATCATCTACATAGAAAAACTATGAAATCTATGAAAAAGCTACTAGAACTAATCAATGAATTTAACAACACAGCAGGATACAAGATTGGTATACAAAAACGAGTGGTATTTCTAGCAATGAAAAAGTGTACGGTAGCAATGAAAACTTTGGGAATAAAAATTTTTATAAAAATGGCATCTACAACTATATCAAAAATATGAAATATTTGGAGACCGGTGAAAAATGTGCAAAAACTCTTACTGAAAACAGCAAAACATTGCTGAGAGAAATTTAGAAAGACCTGGATAAATGAAAAATAAAATAGATTGTGTTCAAGATTGGAACAGTCAGTATTGTTAACTATCAATTTCCCCTAAATTGATCTACAGATTCAGCTTAATCCAAATAAAAATCTGACCCTACTTTTTTTTGTAGAAATGGAAAAGCTGATCCTAAAATTCACACGGAAATGCAAAGAACTTGAGTAGTCAAAAGAACTTTGAAACAGAAGACCAAAGTTAGAGGACTAGCACCACCTGACTTCAAAACTTATGAAGCTACAGTGATCAAGACAACAAAAAGCTGTGCAAAAATGGAAAAGTAATGATAGTATATTAGGTGACTCTGCTGTGAACATTATTTTTATGCTCATAAAATTGTAAATAATTATTACAGAATGTAAAAATGGAAGTTTTGGCTGAGGCCATAACTGAAGGAAAAAAAAAAAAAAAGATATGCTAAAGACCATGTAGAACTTGCAAACAAACAAGGATATGCTAAAGACCATGAACTTGCAAACAAACAAGCAAAAACAGAAGAGGTGAGGAAAACCAGTTTTATGACTCCTAATTCGAACTCGCATCTATGGCATAAAAAGGTAGGGAAGTAGAGATTTGAATGGATTTTTAGGGAAATTTTTGGAGAGAGTGTGGAGGAGGTGGGATGTGTTGCGTTCTTCCTATTTCACATCCAATCAACAGAGAGGGACTTTTAAAAGAGCCCTCAAAGAGCTTGAAGTATGGTCCCTGGAGATTTAAGAACAGAAGCAGCAGATGAGGAAAGAGAAAACAAGCCAAAATAGCCTCTTGCCTAACACCGAGCTTCCCACTGCAACAGGCCAGAGCCTGGGGAAACCCAGCTTTAAATCAAGATTGTAGCTTTGACAGTTGCACGGGCCTTAGCATTTTGACGAACGCCCGAGCCTGCACTGACACACTAACGTGACTGGAGAACTCGCAGAGCCTGCCCCTGTTTTTATCTAAAAGTGAAGGCAGTTTAACATAATAGCAGGGAAAAGGAGGGGGGGAGGGTGGACACTTTAAGAGTCCTGCATGGTGGAAGTGATGGTTACACACTGAATATTTATTTAATAAAAATAGTAATTATAAGTAAATTGGAAGGATGGAGGGAGAGAGAAGTATATGGGAGACTGAAGGATAGGGAGCTAAATCCTCATTTTCTATATCAGGTAATCAATATACATTATCCAAAACTGAAAAATCAAGAAATAGTAATATAAGCACATTATTTACAACGATGGGGTTAAATACCAAACAAATAGCTAGAAGTGCTGAAAGTGGTTTTCTCTAAGAGGAGGGAATAGGCATTGGGAGAGAAGGAGAGGCGAGACTGTGGTTTTTCATGAAAAAGCTTGTACCATTTTCTTTTTAAACTGTATACACATATTACTCTGAGAATTTTTATTTTTAATTATTAGAAAAGTCACAGGGCATTCCCATGTTTTCATCCAGAGGTAGAGGCAACTACATTTGCCTTTTTAAAACTATACATACGTATTACTGATAATTTTTATTTTTAATTGAAAAGGATAGTGATAGTGTTGAAAGAAATTTCAGACTGTGCTGCGTGTGTGGGCGGTGTGTCGTGGAGCAGCAACTGGGCACCAACCTACGTCTCACGCTTACACAAAAACTAACTCAAAATGGATCCGAGACCTAAGGAAAAACATAAAAGAAAATCTTTAGGATCTAGGGCTAGGCAAAGAATTCTTAGACTTCTCACAAAAAGCACCATCTAAAAAAGGAAAAATCAATAAAATGGACTTTATCAAAATTAAAAATATTTGATCCATGACAGACCCTAAGAGGATAAAAAGATAAACTACAGAGTGAAAGAATATATTTGCAAGCCACATACATATCAAAAGACTCGTATTTAGAATATATAAAGAATTCTCAAAAGGCAACAGTAAAAATATAAACAGCACAATTAGAAAATGGGCAAAAGACAAGAAGAGACATTTCACCAAAGAGGATATACGAATGGCAAATAAGCACATGAAAAGCTGTTCAATATCATTAATCATTAAGGAAACGCACAGTAAAACCACCGTGAGATATCACTACACACCTGTCAAAGTGGCTAAAATAAGAACTAGTGACAACACCAATCGCAGACAGGGATGTGGAGAAACCAGATCATTCATACATTGCTGGTGGGATTGTGAAATGGTACAGCCACTCTGAAAGATAGTTTGGAAGTTTCTTTTATTTTACAAAAATAAAATCCATATGATAAAGATCTAAATATTGAGAAAAGATTTTTAAAAAGTAGTAGAAAACTAGGAAAATAACTTTGGGGATAGGAAGACATTTCTCAACAGAGCACAAGATGCAAAAGTCATAAGCAGAAAGGTTGGTAAATTTAACCACATCAAAATAAAAGCTGTGTGCTCAAAACAAAACTAAACAGAGCAAATAACACAGCAAAAACAACAAGCAAAACATTCCATAATCATAGTTTAAAGATAAATCACCAACTGGGGAAAAAAAATCTATCAATATCCCGATATGTAAACAACTCCTATAAATCAACAAGACAAAGCAAACTACCCAAAGGAAAACAAATAAATGACATAACAGATAATTCAGACAAGAGGAAATAGAAATAGCAGATTAAAATACAGAAAGAAATGTTCAAGCTCACTAGTAACCATGGAAAGGCAAATTAAGATCGAATGCCATCTTTCACCCATGAGTACTTGGCAGAAATTGATGTCTAATGACATGGGTGTAGGGAAGCAGGTATTCAAACATTAATAATAGTGTAACCATTTTGGAGGGTATTTTGGCAATATCTACTACCATTTTAAATGTACATTCAGGGCTGGCCCGTGGCTCACTTGGGAGAGTGTGGTGCTGATAACACTGAGGCCACGGGTTCGGATCCCATATAGGGATGGCCGGTTAGCTCACTAGGGAGAGCACGGTGCTGACAACACCAAGTCAAGGGTTAAGATCCCCTTACCGGCCATCTTTTAAAAAATAA